TCTTTGCAAAGGTTATATCTCTGCAACCACTGGACCGATTCACTCGCGGTCTTTTGTGTGGGATAGCTTCTTCCTTTCCCAAACGTAGTGTGCTACTCTCGATGCGTATGGGTGACCCCTAATGCACGTGCCACGTGCAAAACGAAGAGGTGTCAGTTCGGTAGCAAGTGTAATAACTCTGTAGTTATTTTGCCGATTGCGCTGATCCTTGGCATGGATGTAGGCACCCGCCCCGCAATGCATTTCCATGTGTCACGGTTGGGGTGCCGCTGCACGTGCGCACGGGCAGGGTGACGCTTCCAGATCTCGAGAACGGCTGGGCCGATTGTGATCAAAGTTGGCACACCGTTAGGGCTCGGCGAGTAGGGTGCCGTGCACAAGTCAGATGGGACCCAGTTTGCACGTGCGCACGTGAAGCGTGCCGCTCCAAGATTTCGAAAACGGCCGGACCGACTGTGCTCAAATTTGGCGTACTACTAGAGACTGGTTAGTAGGGTGCCGTGCACAAGTCAGTAAGTATGTATTTTCATGTGCCGCGGTTGGGGTGCAGCTGCACGTGCGCACGTGTAGGTGTCGTTTCCCGATCTTGGAAACGGCTGGGCCGATTCATATTAAATTTGGTACATCGCTAGAAACCGGCGAATAGAGTGCCGTGCACAAGTCAATTGGGGCCCAGGCTGCACGTGCACACGTGCAGGGTGTCGCTTCCAGATCTCGAAAACGGCCGGGTGGATTGCACTCAAATTTGGCACACCGCTATAGACCGACGAATAGGGTGCCGTGCACGTCAGGCCGTAGCACACCGACTTCGGTCTGCACGTGCAAGGCTCATCCTCTCGTTTGGTGGCGGGCGTTTTTGCTGCGTTTTCAAAGGTGCTTGCTCAAACAACCTGCGGTCCCGCGATGCGGAGCCCAGCATCGCAGATGCTGGTAACCGCAGGTTGTTTGAAAAGACAAACACTATTCGTTAGAATTGTGTTTTTCTATTGAAAAACAACCGGAGCGGTCGTTGTCCGGGGTATGTTTTGCAAAGTTGGCCGCGAATCGAGACATCTTGACGGGGGCCTAAACGAATCGCTCAATCTTCGTAAAAATTTCAGGGTATGGGCTCCAGCAGGCTATCTACCTGATGGCATCGGTCGCTACTCGCTAAGAAGTCTTTTGCGCGTGGCACGTGCGATTCCATTTTCCCCATGTTAAGTGAACGGGGTTTTGGACACTTTTTGCGCGATCGCCAATGGCGGGAAAACGAGCCAAGGAAGAGGTGGTTTTCTTCCCAGCATTTTATGGCAAACACGTTTGGGTACACGCCAGTGTGCGCTGTACACCCCTCAGAATCTCGGAACGTGTCTTTGCACGAGATCAAAGTTGGAATTTTGCTGTGTCCCATGTTAAGTCAATGGACGGCGATGTCGAGACTTTGCAGAGACATTTTCATTCGATCTTTGTACAAAATTTTAGAGATAGATTTCGCCCAAACTCATATATCTTGTAGAGGAAAGAGCATAGTACATGCCGTTATGCTTCGTTAAGGTGGCAAAACTCATTTTTTCTTATAAAGTTAATTTGAAATTTAAAATTTTTAACATGGAAAGTCAATGGGAGCGTCTTTGTTGCTTAATAACTTTTTACGTTGCAGATATATCAAAGTGAAAAGTTAGTAAAATATACAACTTTCGATGCTCTTTCCAACAATGTATAGAACGTCACTGCACGATGTGCCGTTTTTAAGATAAGCTGTAAAAAAGCAGGGCTCGACTGTGACTTGAACCCAACCACATTAGAGTATACGAACAGGTGAAGGGGACACCTCCCATGTGCGGACGCGACACTGATTATTGCTGAATATTAGCAGTCGGCCGTTGTGGGGGCGTCTTTGCAAAGGTTATATCTCTGCAACCACTGACCCGATTCACTCGCGGTCTTTTGTGTGGGATAATTTCTTCCTTTCCCAAACGTAGTGTGCTACTCTCGATGCGTATGGGTGACCCCTAATGCACGTGCCACGTGCAAAACGAAGAGGTGTCAGTTCGGTAGCAATTCTAATAACTCTGTAGTTATTTTGCCGATTGCGCTGATCTTGGCATGGATGTTGGCACGCACCCGGCAATGCATTTCCATGTGTCACGGTTGGGGTGCCGCTGCACGTGCGCACGGGCAGGGTGACGCTTCCAGATCTCGAGAACGGCTGGGCCGATTGCGATCAAACTTGGCACACCGCCTAGAGGCTGGTTAGTAGGGTGCCGTGCACAAGTCAGATGGGACCCGTTATGCACGTGCGCACGTGCAGGCTGACGCTTCCAGATCTCGAGAACGGCTGGGCCGATTATGATCAAAGTTGGCACACCATTAGGGATCGGCGAGTAGGGTGCCGTGCACAAGTCAGATGGGACCCAGTTTGCACGTGCGCACGTGCAGGACGACGCTTCCAGATCTCGAAAACGGCCGGGTCGATTGCACTCAAATTTGGCACACCGCTATAGACCGGCGAATAGGGTGCCGTGCACGTCAGTCCGTAGCACACCGACTCCGGTCTGCACGTGCAAGGCTCATCCTCTCGTTTGGCGGCGGTTTACAAAGGTGCTTGCTCAAACAACCTGCGGTCCCGCGATGCGGAGCCCAGCATCGCAGATGCTGGGTAACCGCAGGTTGTTTGAAAAGACAAACACTATTCGTTAGAATTGTGTTTTTCTATTGAAAAACAACCGGAGCGGTCGTTCTCCGGGCTATGTTTTGCAAGTCTGGCAGCGAATCGAGACATTAACCGCAGGTTGTTTGAAAAGACAAACACTATTCGTTAGAATTGTGTTTTTCTATTGAAAAACAACCGGAGCGGTCGTTCTCCGGGCTATGTTTTGCAAGTCTGGCCGCGAATTGGGGCAACTTGGGTGGGGCCTAGACGAAATGTACAATCTTCGTAAAAAGTTCAGTGTATGGGCTCCCGGAGGCGATCTACCTTATGGCACCGGTCGCTACTCGCTTAAAACCTCGTGGCACGTGGCACGTGCGATTCCATTTTCACCATGTTAAGTCAACGGGGTTTTGGACACTTTTTGCGCGATCGCCAATGGCGGGAAAACGAGCCAAGAAGGAGGTGGTTTTCTTCCCAGCATTTTATGGCAAACACGTTCCGGTACACGCTAGTGTGCGCCGTATACCCCTCAGAATCTCGGAACGTGTCTTTGCACGAGGTCAAAGTTGGAATTTTGCTGTGTCCCATGTTAAGTCAATGGACGGCGATGCGGAGACTTTGCAGAGACATTTTCATTCGATCTTTGTACAAAATTTTAGAGATAGATTTCGCCCAAACTCTTATATCTTGTAGAGGAAAGAGCATAGTACATGCCGTTATGCTTCGTTAAGCTGGCAAAACTCATTTTTTCTTATAAAGTTCATTTGAAAATTAAAATTTTCAACATGGAAAGTCAATGGGAGCGTCTTTGTTGCTTAATAACTTTTTACGTTGCAGATATACCAAAGTGAAAAGTTAATAAAATATACAACTTTCGATGCTCTTTCCAACAATGTATAGAACGTCACTGCACGATGTGCCGTTTTTAAGAAAAGCTGTAAAAAAGCAGGGCTCGACTGTGACTTGAACCCAACCACATTACAGTATACGAACAGGTGACGGCGATACCTCCCGTGTGCGGATGCGACACTGATTATTGCTAAATATTAGCAGTAGGTAGGCCGCCTGTGGGGTGCCTTTACAAACCTTATATCTCTGCAACCACTGGACCGATTCACTCGCGGTCTTTTGTGTGGGATAGCTTCTTCCTTTCCCTTAACGTAGTGTGCTACTCTCGATGCGTATGGGTGACCACTAATGCACGTGCCACGTGCAAAACGAAGAGGTGTCAGTTCGGTAGCAAGTGTAATAACTCTAGTTATTTTGCCGATTGCGCTGATACTTGGCATGGATGTAGACACCCGCCCCGCCATGCATTTCCATGTGTCACGGTTGGGGTGCCGCTGCACGTGCGCACGGGCAGGGTGACGCTTCCAGATCTCGAGAACGGCTGGGCCGATTGTGATCAAAGTTGGCACACCGTTAGGGCTCGGCGAGTAGGGTGCCGTGCACAAGTCAGATGGGACCCAGTTTGCACGTGCGCACGTGCAGGCTGACGCTTCCATATCTCAAGAACGGCTGGACCGACTGTGCTCAAATTTGGCATACCACTAGAGACTGGTTAGTAGGGTGCCGTGCACAAGTCAGTAAGTATGTATTTTCATGTGCCGCGGTTGGGGTGCAACTGCACGTGCGCACGTGTAGGGGTCTAATTAATCGTAGACGCTGAAGGCTCGCAATTAACTCCCCAAATTTGGAAAGGGCCATTCGCAGAGCGCAGAAGCACACTGATGTCACTTTCAAGGCGCCATAATCCATTTTCAGCATATTGATGATAACATAAACGGATGCATGATTATAATGATTTCGTATATTTATAAGGAAATATGCAATATGCAAGTCAAATTACAGCATTATTACAAACTGAATGGAGCGAAACGGTTATGAGATGCAGTTCACGGCGCCCGGAAACTGCCAATGTCAAAATGAGGCCATCCCTTACAGCGCATTGCAATAACTAGCGTGCCAGTGAGCCGGCGGTCGCAGTGGAAAAGTTTCTGGTCCGTGGTCCAACCAGTGGGCCAATCGATACACCATCTCGCTAAGTGTAACTGCGTCTTCCAATGACCCCGTCGCATAGCCGTCACGGCACTTGACCCTGGCCCGGAAAGGAATCTCCCTCTTCAACATGCATGATAATCATTTTACAATCACATCGTCTGAAGAGCTGCTGCCAGAAAACTGTAATGAAAAGGGCGATATGTGCTTACGATTATAGTTGCGCAAGCGTAAATTCATAACAATAAACGCAATAAATACGATACTGTTGCAGCGAAAGAAGTCTAAAAACACATCCAACTTCAGACCTCCCCAGCACTGACTCCAGCCCTTCGGTTCAGCCCCCACCCTGCCCTCCGTCCCCACTCACCTCATGGGAGCTCCCAGATGGGTCGGAGCGGGGTCAGTCCATGGGGGCTCCAGTGACCACGTCACCCACACAGCGGGCGCGCTGTTCACCGCACGAGCCGGCTGCAGCCGCCACCGGCAGGCTGCCGCGAGTGGCGCCTAGAACGGGATCAATGCCTCTCTCCCTGCCGTCTGCGCAGTGGAGGCTGGGCCGGCCCGGCGCGGGGCAGCTGCCGGCCGGCCCGCACCGGGGGTGGCGGCAGGGGCGGAGACAGCGAGGGGGCAGGGGCGGAGACAGCGAGGGGGCAGAGGTGGGGCCAGAGGGGGAACTCTCCCCCCCGGTCCGGCCTGCACCGGGGTTGGGGGGGAGGGAGGGGACGCATTCCGGCCTACGATCGGTTGGCTGCATATTTTTTCTTTTGGCTTACGAGCTCAGAGAGAATCTTTCCCGCAGTGGATTAATCCGAAATTATAACGTAGGCTGAAGCTTATTTTAGAAGGATGATAACATCACAAGAAAGAAGGTCAAGTTTAAATCAGGTAAATATAAGTCACACGCAAACGGCCAAAATGTAGACTTGATATATGGGTAGACACTAGACATTGTATTTGTAGATTGATTGTAGACAAACAAATTTGCGGAAAATTAGAATAATTTAGCGTTTATAGGTATGCCTACCGCGGAAGACCAGCGTCAAGTCGAAATTACGAAAGCCACCACGAATAGGCCGGACCTCAGTTGATATGAAATAGTGCATGGTTGGCAAGTTAAATGTCCATACCTTTAAAACCCATGAGTTTCATTTCCTTGCCAAAACATGGGATTTGCCTCTACCTATAAGCGAATGCAACCGTATACACTATTAAAAGGCATACTATTTTTGGTAGTTTTTGCAAAGCTGGACATGACATAAAAATTCAACGCTGTCGTCACCGTGTCACCATTTCGAATGAAAACGAAGAAAGTATCTCTGGTAGGATGAGCTGACTGGCCGGTGAATTGCTCGGAAGTGGAACTTGATGACTTTCAAAGGCGCTTAGCTCTTGTCAGCTGGTGATTTGTGATACGCGCTGGAACCGATCTACAAATTTAGCATGGAGGTGGTTGACGCCTCAATGCCAGAAGACGTTTGCTGTGGGTAGCTGACGAGATATTAGATATTCACCAGTCTCGTCCAACAACCAGCAAATGCAACGCTTACGAGTACCATCGCACATATAACTCTGTCTGTGGTGTGATGTGGTAGCAACTAGCAGTCTCAGTCTCGGCTGGTAGCATACGTCTGCTACTATGCCCATACACTCATCTCCGCACCCCTGCCCTCCACTACCTCCCCTAAGCTTACCCCACACGGCCCAGCACCACCCCCCCCCCCCTGCGCCCAACTCAGCCCTAACCTTGTCCCACTGACCCCTACCCCCCTCAGCCTGTGACCTGGCTCCGCCTCTGTCGTTCCTCCTGCGCCGCCGACGCCGACGCCTCGTCGCCGACGACGAGCGTCGTTCAATACGTCTCGACCAGCCCGCCCGGCGGTGTTCCACGCCCGTCCTCTCTGCGGTGATCCTCCCGTGAAGCTGGTCAGCGAGACTGTGCTGAGCGGGACAGCATACCCAGCCAGGCGGCAGTGGTTGGTGCTCCCGACCAGTCGACAGTTGAAGTCTCCACGGGGTTCAGTCGCGGGCAGCGGTGTGCGTTGTTTGAGGCGCCACGGGCGACGCCTCAAAGATCGGGGCGGGCCCCGACTGTCTCGTCTTTAGATGTGAGAAATGTGAGAGAATATCTTGCGTCAAAACAGAGTTCTGGTGAGAACGGGGTACCAGTGATCTAAGACGATCGGCACGGAGGTCAAGACTTCAGAGGACTGATGGAATCAGAAAAAACGGTGAGGACAAAGATTAACTAGTGAGGATTGTCGCCATGCCGTCGTCGCTGAAGAGGAGTCGCCAGCTGCTGTTGCTGTGCCTGCTGCTGGCCAAGCTGTGCCGCAGCAACGGAAGGGGATATGAAGAGCACTATCCTCCGGTGGCCAGGCAAGGTGAGACTGGAAGGCTCTTGTGATCTTTTTATCGCGCATATACCATGATAGAGGAGACTGAAAATGGGCGGCATTTCAACATCTCAGAAATCAATTTTATTTTAGATATTTAGGACAATTGAATTTTATGTGAGAGCAGGCGCATCTATCCAAAACATAAGTGTTGATGTTTTATTCCGAAAAAGAAACATACAATTTTGAATTTGATTTTGACTGTGAATAGGTAGGTACTTGTAGTGATTGTTTTTGTGTCTCTTAGCTGGGTCACTAGGAAGTGCTCTCAATAGTCACCGTTTCATCTCAATATGTTTTACGATGGTTTGACATCGCTCAGTAAAAGCATAAATTTTAACACAAAAAAGCTAATTTGACCTCATGTTTGCCAAGATAATTGAGTATGATATGCATTCCTGACTTTGACACTGAACCTGTCACTTTCACAGAGTTTCTGCCCGTGGAGGAGGTCCAGACGGGCCAGTGTAACAAAACTGTGGCGATTTACGAAGACGTTTCTACACCCAGTGTGACGGCAGAGACATACAACAAGCCTCTGACCTGCTGGTACGAGTTCAGGTGAGAGCCGCGAGAAGAGACCGGATACATGGGAATACGAGGGGAGACAGGGGAGACGAGATGATATTTGAAAAGAGATGGATAGCTAGGGGAGACAAATACAGATTGTGAGGCGTGGGGAATATGGGAATTGAGGGTAGTTGGAGACGGTTTTTAGAAGAGATGGGCAGACTGGGAAAAGTGACTGAATAGCAGACGTGGGAAACATTGGTGTCTATCTCGTTTATCTTGTTCCTGTCTGAATCGACTCCAGTTGCCGTTTAATTTATCATTGCCAAACATGCTAATATCCTGTGTTTGTTGCAGACCAAACGGTGCGCCCAGCTCTGATTACGTCATCGACATTCGGTTCAAGACTTTCAACGTGGGCCGAGTGCATAACAGCACCACGTGTCGTGGGGGCTATGTTCAGGTAAGGGTTTACATATGTGTGTCGAGGGGGCTATGTCCAGGTGAGGGCTCACATATGCTTGTTGACAGACAGACGACATACATATACCTGCAGCTAGACAGACGGACAGACATAACAAACAAGTGAAAAAACCTACTGAGATAGTTGACAGGTACGTGTACAGATAGAGAGAAGAGGGGGAAAAGAGAGAAAGAGAGAGAGGAGATTCATAGAGAGAGAGAGAGAGAGAGAGAGAGAGAGAGAGAGAGAGAGAGAGAGAGAGAGAGAGAGAGGAGAGAGAGAGAGAGAGAGAGAAAGAGAGAGAGAAAGAGAGCGAAAGAGAGATAGAGAGGAAGAGATAGATAGAGAGTTTGAGAGAGATAGAGAGAGTGGGAGAGAGATAGAGAGAGAAAGAGAGAGAGAGAGAGAGAGAGAGAGAGAGAGAGAGAGAGGGGGGGGGAAGAGAGAGATTGGCTATCGTTACCAATCTAAAGGCTAAGCTAATCATATTACTTGAGCTAAGTCACCCCTCACGAATAATTTATGCATAACTTCCGAAACATATCCCATATATCCGCGAAAGCACCAATGATGAATGGCCGGCTACATGGTTATATTTCACGCTCGTAAATCACATTATTCCAAACAGTCATGACTGCCTTACCATAAATCACAAATGGAACTCATAATGGAGAAACATTTGGGAACGACATAACCGACGAAACGCCGGCTTGTCATCCTACAGGAAATTTCTGACATTCGCTTCATTTCTGGGAAAGATCATACCCAGAACTGTCGCACTGCTGTGGTCCCGGCGCCAGCTCTGTTCGATAAGCTGCTGACAGTGCTAACGATGTGTTCTCTGACAGATTATTGACGGTAACGAGGAGACTCCCGTCACCAATCATCTGTCTCCTGGGTTCTTCTGCGGAGAAATGCAGAACAGCAAGAACTTCATCAGTGAGACGAACTCGGTGAGCGTGACCGATCTATGATTATGTGGGTATGAGGGAAATAAAAGTGAGCCTTTTGACCGTTCATCAAATGTAAGATAAACATGTAACTCTTGTACTGGCAACGCATAGACCACGTCAAGCAGCTTTATGGAGGTTTGCTCAAGACCTTTTTTTACTTCATTTGCCACCGCATAGGTTCCAGATGAATTAACTAGTTCTCGTCTTGGCTGTGCGTTTCATTTGTGTTTTCTGCAACGCTGATGGCTTTAGTATCGTGTTTCATCATCAAGTTTAAAAACATGGAATTATTTTTTCCCCATGTTCACCTTTCTGCTCTCAGGTGAAGCTGATATTTCACGTGGATAACTTCACCGAGGGCACATACCTTTCGTTTTTCTCTCGAACTGAGCTGACGAGAGCGCTGCACAAACGTTACGGGAAACAGCCGGAGCTGTACCCTGGAGGACGGCGGGGAGACCCGGTGAGTACACTTTGGCACGATGAGGTTGTTTGTGGTGCGGGTCGAACTGAGAGCAAAACAAATTAATTAGAAAGATCGATAGGCAAACTTATGTCAAGGATAGATATCAAGGATGGATGCTACCGAGTCTTTCTCTACATTTAGCGAAGAGTGAAATGGTTGTCAAAAAAGCCTAAGAGGTCTTTTATGTTGCAGTCATCCAAACCAGACGGGGGGGACGTGTGATGGGATTAATTAAAACCAGCTTGTATTCACGTGTTCGTGTGCATTCCGAAACAAAATGAAATAATATAAACTATGAAGCTATTGCCTTCCAGACTACGGGTCACGGACTACAAACATGCATGCATGCAAGTAATGTGTAACCTAAATTGCAGTCGACCATAGGACTCTGGCTAATGCAGCATTTTCTTCATGTCAGGGTTATTTCTATGCTAATCAAAAGCAATCAGTTTGTAAAGCTGTTCTACTTGAATCTTGATAACGTTATATGGCAGCAATTACACGCGTCGTTTTATCTAAATGTGACACAGATGGGAACATAGTGTTTATGATAGTGAGCTATTGTAATGAAATGTGATTGGCCTACAAAATACGGCGAGCCTTATTAATTTCCCTTTCTGTATCCTCGCAGGTCGGGCCGAACAGATACTGTGAGCGCGTCTTCAGTCGGTGTCGAACGGATAGCTGCTTCGTCCAGTCGCCCGCCTACCCAGGACCCTATCCCAGGAGTAAGCAGACTTATGTAAAGCTTACATGCAATGCAAACCGTCTATTGTTAATTCATCTAATCCTTCCAACGAAATGTAGAATCGACCAATAGAACAATCACATATATTCGATAACGAGTAATAAAGTTATTGTAAATCATACTGCATGGATATTGCATTGTTTCTACACAAAAACGTTTGCTATTTTCAGATTTACACTGTCGCTATCATCTGAACGTTGAGCGAGCCTACATTCGACTGTACACAGCAGACCAGCAAGTCAGCATAGATGGACAACGCTGCGACAGTCCAATGATATGTCCGCTCCGGTAAGCTCATCAGCATTCGGCTCGTAATAGTTATGCTGTTTGATGTGGGAATAGGTACGCATGAAAGTGCTTCTTTGCTGATGTGTGGTAGACGAAGTCATCTAAATTTGTTTGCGATTATTGATAAAACAGCGATTCACGAACAATATGCGAAACAAATAGATAAGAAATATGCGACGGATGACGAAATCCACGGTCGAAATGTGCAATCGTTACTTGATATTTCTCCGTTGAGTCCCTACCTACCCTGTCAGATAACGCAGTCAGATAACGCGGAGGGCGGTCGGCGGCGCTCGGCACCTGCGCTGGTAGGCTAGCCCGCCGGACAGCAGTGTGCTGCGGTACAGCCTACCTGTCAGTCGTTTCACAAAACGGGCGGTACGGCTTGATGTTTCACTGAATCTCGAAGCATGCCGCTCCGCGTCCGAGTCGATATTGAAATCGAGCGGTTAAATCACATCACTGATGTTTAATGTGATGTTCATCGACAGGCCTCTGACGTCAGAGGCTGAGCGATGCACGAGAGACTACATCACAATATACGACGGGAAGAATGAAATCGATCCAAAGATCGGCACTTTTTGTGGATTCGGGAGGTAAGCATGATCGCACTAGAAGATTCGTGATTAGTGCTCATACATATGGCCGAGAAAACATAGAAAAGTGATTTTTTGTCAGCGGTGCTAAATACAATCAGCCTATAAACAGTATGGCTCGCTTCAGCTGCTTACTGCAAGCGTCACAGCTTTCATAGAAGAGCAATATCAAATTATTTAGTTACTGACTATACCTCACATGAACATTTCTTGCTCCAAAGATGACACTGCCTGTAAATCCATGTGACGTTTCAACATGACTGTCTGTCTCCTTCTGTAAACCCTCGTGTAACACCAGATCATTATCGATACGGACAGGTTCCCGCACTCGGTCACCGGGTCGGGCACAGACCTGCTGGTGACCTTCACCAGCTCCCCGGCCGGACCGCTGCTCAACGAGGGATTCCAGTTCTCCGTCGGCAGCGTGCCCGGAAAACGAGATACGCAGGTGAGCTGACAGCCCTGTCATAATGGTTCCGGACGATTGTTTGTCTGTCCAGACGGCTGTCACAAAGCCGTCTTTCGGACTGCGAATTCTGTGAGTTATCCTGGGTTATGTGGTCTGTAACATGGTGAAAATATAAACCGCTGCAATTTCATGGTGGCGCTGGTCGACAGAGCTTAGACGGACAGGTTTTGGCCATTCTGCTATCTCCTTATGGACAGGGTAAGCTGTCCGGTCTGTGATCGGGTGATACTTAGGCAGGGTAACCTAACTCTGCCCTCTCTGTGAACAGGGTAGGCTGCCTATGTGCTGTCTATGTCATGTAACTGGGTGTTCCATGTTCCCTCCCCTTAGCGACAGGGAAATTTATCTGATCTCTTTGACTGGGTGTTACTTAGACAGGTAAGAATGACTCTGCTCTCTCATCTTATTGACAGGGTAAGCTGTCGGGCCTGTGTGACTGGATTTTCGGCGCCCGCCGTCTCCGTCGCAGCGGTCAGAGCAGCGGTCAGTTCTCCTCTCTCGCTCACTGGTATCCGGCCAACACGACCTGCCGCCACCTCATACGGGCAGACAGCGGACAGAGGGTGAGAGTGAGACGGCGGGACACTTCAGGTGCGGTCATGGAGTGCCATGGCACACATGTCGCATAGGTTGACGAGTTCTATTCATGACATCTACCATACGCAGTACGCACCTCGTTGACACTTCACAAAAACCCGATAAGAGTAACGCAATTATGTAAAAGTAATAAAAGTTCTTAAAATAATCAAATGAGGCATGTGCTGTCGACACTTTCGCATGCATGGGGATGATACAGGCTCAACATCTCTGCGGTAATCGCCGTGGGCCGACACCTCTGGGTCATTCGTTCCGACCACATACTATACGTATTATACATACTATACGCTAGAGTCGCTAGACTCTGATGCCTATCAGCATCTATTCGTTATAAATTCGTAGCGTTACGAAAAGAAAGACCGGTTCACTACTTGCCCCCCTCTTTCCTGTCCTGTGGCCAGGTGCGACTTCGGTTCACCAGTTTCCGAGTGGATCCGATCACAGCGCCTCTGGCGGCCGACGACGGAGACTGCGCCGAGTCGCTGGCGGTATACGACGCTGCCGAACCTCGCTCCGACCGACTGCTGCAGCTGTTCTGCGACACGTTCAGCGCTCCGGCCAAGAGCGACCCCATCCTCTCTACCGGAAGGACGCTGCTGGTGCTCTTCACCAGCCGCACAGGTCAGTGATCCATGCAGCGACACGCTCAGGGTGACATAATGGCCGTTTTCACGACGGCCATCTGGTGCACATTTGGTGCACATTTGGTGCAGATTAGGTGCAGATTTGGTCACAATAGATCTAGTGTGTCTTTTAGTAGCTATCAGCTAGGGCTGCAATAATTGCTTATATACCTGCTTCGTCATATTATCAGACAATACCATCGATTAAAACACTGAAATAAATTCAAAAATGAAGATATTTGCTGTAAAAGACATTACATAGGTGCAGATTTGGTCAAATTAGGTGCATTCGCCGGATAGCCCGTCGTGAAAACGGCTAATGTCATGTTTGACTGGCTTGAAAGATGCTTTACATCAGTAACACTTCATAGTTTTGTTAACTCTATCACGAAGGGGTTCTGGTTGCCGTTGATCCCTTACCTAAAGTGAGTCGTAACTCTTTCTCTCTCCACTAGCACCATGGATCAGCACATCGTTGGCGTCTGACTGCCTGTCTCATCCTCTGACAGGCTCATTCGAGGCCAGCTCCCTCTTCTACCGGGCGTCTTTCGACTTTTTCCGCGAGGCCTGGTGGGGTCTGCCGGTGAAGGACACCCGTTGCGACGAGACGTTCCCCTCGTGGCACGCCGAGGAGGGCGCGTTTGGAGGCCCGCAGAACCGCCTCGTGTTTGAGGGGGCCGCCGGAGTGAGGTGTCGGTATACGTTCTCGGCCGACCCGCGCCGGTATGCTCGTCTGCTCATCAATGTGACTGAGCTGAGCCTGCGGGAGCGATGTCAGGCGCCCGCCGATGGTGACGCCTGTCTTCAGGTGAGCACGATGGCTGACAGACTGACTGTTCGGGTGGGTTATTGATTGAGTCCTAACAACTGGTGACGTAACTGTTACGAGTTGTTTGCTAAGAGCTGAAAACAGATCCTTCGCGTCCCCGACCAATTTCAGCTTTCCATTTAGACAGTTGCATAGTGTTCGTTCGTAAAAAAGAGTGCACATTACTTCCGGCTAAGATTGTTCATCGTTGAATGTACGGTGTACCTACTGAATATTGGGGTAAACAGCCATGATAGTACGGTGCCTCCATAGAGCAGCCTTGGGTTGGAATCTGCCAATAACTCCCATTTTCCCGCGCCCATTCACAGTCGCCGAGTCACCTGGCCTCGCTGGCGGAGCCGCCGCTCTGTCTGTGCCGCTCCAGCCACGCGCCGCGGGCCCTGCTGACCTCAGCCGCTGAGCTGACGCTGGAGCTGACGGTCAGCGCTGCCGCTGGGCGGCACGTGCTGAGGGACAGCTCAGCGCCGCTGTTGTCCGGAACGTACCGGTTTGTGCACGGGCCGTTCTGCGGAAGGACGGAGGCGACGGGGGATCGACTGCAGTACCCGGCACTGGACTATCAGCCGCGCGAGCCCACCTACTGCGTCTGGGAGGTCAGTATGGGGAATGCAGATCTACCTACTGCCTCTGGGAGGTTAGTGATAGGGTGCAGGACCCAGCCTACTGCCTCTGAAAGGGACAGCTACTGCACTGAAAACAATTTAACCCAAGGCCCGCGAGTAAACCGGTGTTTTGCGGGTACCCCTATCCGCAACCATTTTTAACCACCCTCCCAGGAGTACAGTAAGGTCCCATTGCACACACAGAAAAATATTAACACCGTTAGCGGTGTAATTGCACAGTACATATCTGAGCACTTGAGGAAAGTTAATTTAGTCCCTTCCCCGCTTACATTACTCGCGCTTCTAAATGAACACCAGGAAGAAGGTAATAGAACACTGTTAGGAGGGTTGGGTGTTTTCCTACATGTAGTAAAACACCCAACCCTCCTAACAGTGTTCTATTACCTTCTTCCTGGTGTTCATTTAGAAGCGCGAGTAATTTAAGCGGGGAAGGGACTAAATTAACTTTCCTCAAGTGCTCAGATATGTACTGTGCAATTACACCGCTAACGGTGTCAATATTTTTCTGTGTGCAGTGTAGTCGTCCCTGCTCTCAGCGCACTTGTTCGCTGACAGCGGTTATATCCGTTCAGAGCAAGTACGACTACACCGCAATGGGACCTAGCACTACTCCTGGGAGGATGGTTAAAAATGGTTGCGGATAGGGGTACCCGTAAAACACCGGTTTACTCGCCAGCCTTGGGTTAAATTGTTTTCAGTGTGCATTAGGGAGGTGAAATAATTAGGTCATCTAGGTATTTGCCTTAGAGAAGCCGGAGCACTTATGTCTGAGAGGTCATCCGGAATAAAAGCCCCAATAGCAATCGACGCCACTGCTCTTGACCATTCAAATAGATAAATTTGCTGTCCGATGAATTGCGTTGATTTTGCTGACTCCGTCCCCCCCCCCCCTCCTCCAATGCCTATCTACAGGTGGATGTAGGCGCCGGCCACGACCTGTGGTTCCAAGTTCGCGAGCTGCACCTGCAGTCCAACTGCTCCGTGGACAGCCTGCGGGTGTACACAGATCAATTCCGCCTTCTAGATACTCTCTGCTCCGGCGCCGAGGGCAGCTCACACATCGTCCCTGCGGCTTCCATTAGCGGAGGCCGGGTCTGGCTGCACTTCGCCAGCCGCTCTCCCACCGCGCGGCTGCTGGTGCAGTGGTCGCGGGTGCCGTCCACCTCCGGAGGTCCTGCTGCCTCCCAGCTGGTAGCCGTGGAGGCTGTGACCACTCCGTACACCACCCCGCCGGCGGTGGCGGCCAGCGCTCGCGGCGCCGGCGACTCGCGCTGGAGGGAGATCGGGATGATCGGCGGCGGCGCGATGACGCTCTGCTGCCTGGCGGCGGTGGCCGTGTGGTGGTGTCGCCGTCGACGTCGACGTTGCTGGCCGCCTCCGGCTCCCGAGGAGCGCTGTTTGACGTCAGAGGCGGAGACGGCGGCGGAGGAGCCGTACAGGCCTCACTGATGGGGTCGTAAGCCCAACTCGACGGCTGTCCGCGAGGGGAGGGAGGCTATGTCCAGTATTGGGAGGATGGCAGGGAAGGTGGGCGGAAGGGCCAGGAAGCCTAGTAGGGTCGCCTAGTGAGCCGTGAATTGCATTGGCTGATGGCTGGGATGAAAGATGATATGCTCATAGGGAGGGTTGAGGGAACTCATGGCGTGTTTGTAGTCTCAAGAGATGAGAGGTAATGATCTTTCCGGCTGAACTGCTTTATATATGGTACTTCAACCTTTAATCAGAATAGGTAATGAAAGATTAGTTTAATTGGAACTAGTTTTCATGACGCTCTTGTGGTTAAGTTCATGTCTGCGTAACATATGTATTGTTGACTCGTGAGCGATGCTTGTAGGCGTACTTATCACGTGGAAGCTGTTTTAAGCCCAATTCCCGATTTCCAAGCTGTAACTAAACGGTTCCCCGAGCGCCATTTATGTAAAAGGGCCCAGTGAGTAGACGCACAGGCATAGGAGAGGTCCACAGCTCAGACGAACGTATCGCATCGCCTTTGCATACCGCATAGGCACTGTGTTACTGCATGCACTTGCATATGGGTGCTGTAGTAATGTACTGGTAGTGCGTACTTACCGTGTACCTACGTCTACGACATAATGGTTTATGATGCTGGTGAAAGTAGACATTTTTTAAAGGTTGTTTTCCCTAGAAAATGTTAAGCTTCAAAAATGATTATAATAAAATGTTTTATGTGTAACTCCTTCCTAATACAATAAAACACGTTTGTTATGCCTCTTTGTGCAGCGGGCATTTGTTATTCATTTTATAAAATGCGTAACAATTCGGATTACAAGCAACGCTATAGCTTTTTAAGTGTATTACACAGTGCCAGATACGATATCGGAAAAGCTTTATGTTCGACTGAAGATCGGTGCCTCAGTACCTGTTAGGAGAATGGGGACGATAATGCTTGCTGATGTTCCCATGAGTTGATGCATGTACAATGCATGCAAGAATTGCTCCTGTGCATTGTGAAAATCTTATGTACACAATTTAAATTGAACAGTGAACACTAACATCAATTGTTCCACTTCATTCAAGTTTCACAGAGAGGGAATATGTATGCAGTTAACAATAACACAACACGGACGCACTCCTTCACAAATAGTCAATGATACCAGACTACAATATTCAGGTTTCACGAACCATTCAACGACGAAATCTTGTCGTCATATTACGGCTTTTCTAACATTGTGCCAACATCACTTCAGTCCAAGGGTGGCTTGGAAAATCGTCTCAATGTCACTGAACACATAGCTGCGATCCTGAACAGTTGATGCAGTTGACGTATGCCGGCACGCTTCACCCCGCCCTGTAGCAGTAGACAACCAGCCACCAGTAGATCAGCACAGCCAGGATGAGCAGCTGCACCACGGTGTAGCCGAACGTCGAGCTGATCAACATGCCGATGTTGACGATCACGGTGATGAGGAAGAACAGCAGCATCAGGCCGAAAAGAATCAGCCAGATCAGCACGAAATCTTTGCGATTTCCATACACGCCGTAAACAAGAAGAGCGTGAATGATGGCGCTGGCTAAGTTGATGACGAGGAGTCCGACCAAGAGTGATTCCATGCTTCCACCAGCCATCGTGATGAAGTTGCCGAAGATTCCGCCCGTTATGAATCCGTGAGGCACGGAACCGCCGCTTCCATGGATGATCAGAGCGATCAGGTTTGCGAAAAAGTTCAGCAGTGAAGTTATGAGAAGTGTTAACCCGATTGATAGCGAGCCATCGCGCAGATTGAACAGGCAGCAGCACTTGTCAATTTTCAGCTCTAGACCCATCGTGCTTCCGTGCTAATAAACTTCTTCGGCATGTATATTGTCATCCACAGTTATCACCAAGCTGCTATGAATGTCACCTGTTTACCTATTAGTTTTAGTCGAGCATCTTCCAATAAGACAACTTGGACATAGACGAGTCAGCAAAGCCTTCAAATTAACTTTCTTTTTCCCGGTTTTCAGGATTTCATCAAAAATATATATGACTCACATATCTTTTTGGATGCACCAACCTCGCTCACCTCGAATAACGCTTAATTTTAAAACGGCACTTGCAGATGACCAAAACATCAACTAAAAGACTTAGGTAAAACGTCGAGGAAAGCACCTAAAATATAAACAAAACCAATATCAAAGTCCTCGATGCCTCGATTCTTGACCTACAGCAGTCTTGAGTGGCCCAGCCACAGCTCGGTCAAAGTTGGGTCAAAGCGCTTGGGTCAAAGCCGAATGGTAATTAGAGAAAACGAGCTAAAATATTGCGGCACCATGATAGCACGTGCCAGTGTTTGCGAGGCATTTCTATAATTAGATAAGTAAAAGAAATTGACCTTTACCTCGACAGGAAAAAATGCAAAAAGCCGAATAATGTATTAAAAAAAACGGTGAGCTTTCGGCCACTGGCCTTTATCAAACCAACGTTACAGCAATGTTATTGCTGTAACCCGCGCCCTGGTGGGGTCTGTTTATAACGCGACCTGGTGGGGGGGGGGCTATTTTTTGCCCCCCCCTCGTATCTCCGAAACTACTGGACGGATCTGCAAAATTTAAACGGCGTTCGAAAGGCCTGTCAAATTTGTCGGAGGAAACCAAATTTCATTGACCTCGGGGTCACCGATGACGTCACAGGTCAGGTCAAAGATGAAATGTTTCACCGTTCACGGGTCCTCTAGGGAATGCGCTATAACACCGAGGAAAACGCATTTTGTCGAGAATCAGCGATAGGGCGTCAGTTGCCTAGTAGATATGTTGCTATTAGAGGTCACTGACAATACTAGGTCAGGTCACAGGTCAGGTCACCAAGGGTCACAGGTCAGGTCACGTGAGCCCAACTTTACTAAGCTTGTGTGATGCATGTTTTATGGCCAATTTTTCATTTCCAACTCAATGGTGTTGGTTATAAGACTATCAGGTACGGCTTAGGTCACTTTCTGGTGAAGTTCAGGTCAAGGTCAGGTCAAGGTCAGGCCAAAAAAGGTCAAATTTTTAAGTTGATAGTTTTGCATAAAATGGGTATTGATTCGATGCAGCTCGTCACGGGGAGTCTAATGGTGGTCTTTGTTTTGCGCTACGGGGTCTAGAATTGCTTAAAATTGAGTTTGAAAATTTGACGTCATCAATTTTGAACAGTTTTTTCGCTATAACTTCGCCAAAAAAAGAGGTATCAATCTCAAATTTGGTATGTGGATGGAAGGCGCTAAGTACTATCACATATATTCCGGTTTTTGCGAAATTCAAAAAACTTTTTGGATTTTTCGATAATCATATCCAAAAAAATTATTTTTTGATTTTTGGGGGTCAAAATCCAAAAATTTCAAAAATCCGAGATAGCAGTTTTGTAGCCCTGTCGATTTTACAGTTTTTATGTCTTAATCATTTTTCTGTATTTGCAAAGCTATAGGCCTGACAGCTCTTCCCGCGAAACCCTTTTTTGGGTCGAAAACGGCAGAACATGACGTCACTCTGACGTCATTTCCGGCCAACCTATCATAGCCTTTGGAAAAATTTTTGGTCACAATGTATAAAATTGGTGTCCGGGAGGGTACTGAAAGTTTGGTGACGATCGGCGTAGCGGTTCTCGAGATATATCGAAAAGTCTGGAGGGGGGGGGGGGGGGGCAAAAAATAGCCCCCCCCCCCCACCAGGTCGCGGGGTAACGTTGCTGTAAATTGGTCCACTCTAGTTGAATAAATATGGCGATTTTGCCAAAAGATCGCGGAAAACCGACCGAAAACAGACGCGCTAAACGTTAATTGGGGGGGGGGGGGGTAGACTCTTAGAAACTCGCATTGGGTGGATATGGTTCCCCAGGTAGGTATTGCCTCAAAAACAACGTACCCGGCTCCCAAATACGTCCAAGTGATCCGCCTCGTTCTTATTAAGCTCTAATTTGATCAAGTGACTCATAAGGAGCGAAAAAGCGACCAAAACATGGATTTCCCTATGGCGGCGGGCTCAGCCGGGACGCCACGCGGCGCAACGGCTATTTCCAATTTTGACACACCATATCTTTAGGGGGTTTGAACCGACTTGAACCACTTTGAATGAACCAATGAAAATGTCTAACAATGTCTAAAAAAGGTTTTCACTCAGTTTCGCGTCTCTATGTTGTTTCTAACCGGCCGAAATATGGCTCCAAAGTTAGGGTGCCCGTCTTACCCCACTTTCCCCACAAGATTTAGAAGACGTTATTATTCAAAATAACACATGGCAAAAAAAAAAAAAACAGACCAAGGGCGGATCCAGCCGGCCGTCTTGGGGGGGGGGGGGGGCAACCGGTTGGGACTAGCCAAACCTAGGGTACCCCCAAATCTAGTTTTCTCACCGGTTTTAGGCCACTTATTTTCACCCCTTCACCTTTTCATCGAAAAAAAAAACGAAACGAAAACATTTGCAAAAAGCGAGATATTTCGTCTCAGCTGAGACAAGGAACTACCTTTTTGATAACGAAGAATTAAGGCTTAAATCTTCCACATGAGCTGTCAACTGTCAAGCCATGTAAAGAAGGGGATTTTTCTGAAATGTTTTCTTCCCTTTAGTTTTCCTTTGTGACCCACAACCGTTAATTTGGGGAGGACAAGCTGCCCCGACGGTTCCTGGCCCTATGAAAAGTTGTGAGGGCAGCCGGCAGCGCTCCCACGGCCCCAGAGTTGTGGCCTGTGGGGGCAGGCCGCCCCCACTGCCCCCTGGCTCCCGCGCCCATGACCACAAAGTCCAGGCCCATGCAGTGGCGTACCCAGGAATTTGCGAAGGACCAGGGCATTTGACGAGAGGGCGCCAATCAAGGAGGGCGCCATTCGCCAACAACAAGGAGGGCGCCACATATCTGAAACTTGAATGTGTCAGTTATGTTCGTACACGTGCGGAACGACGTGTACTGGCATACTGGACTACTGGACAGTACTACTCTGACATACTGGACAGAGGGGCGCCACCCACCATCATCTAGGAGCGCGACGCTATCGATTGGGGGGCGCCAATACTGGACAAAGGGGCGCCACCGGCCCACCATATCGTCTAGGAGGGCGCCACTATCACCAGAGGAGCGCCAATACTGGACAGAGGGGCTTCGCCATCAACTAGAAGCGCGCCGCTATCGACTGGAGGAGCGCCAACACTGGACAGAGGGGCGCCAGTCACTGAGGGCGCCGGGGACGATGAGCCAAAGGGACAGGGCATGCACGGAATGTCCTGTATGTGCGTACGCCACTGGGCCCATGGGCCCGGCGTCAAGCTCAAATTCAGACTCGGCAATGTTGATGGTGTGTCTGAGTTCAGACAAGCTGAGTTTATGCTGGGTTCAGCTAGGACGATTGAAGAGGTATCCTGTTGGGCTAAATGCCGGACAATCTCAAGCTCTAATTTTACATTTAATGCATTTAGGCCAGGTCGGGTCAGGTCAGGTCAGGTCAACCAGTAGGGGTCCTGCCGGGTGTTCGTAGTACATGTCAGCTGCCTCTGACAGCTTCGTAACATGTTACGAAGGCATCAAAACTACTTCGTAAATGTTCATATGGTTGCTTAATTCGACTTCCGCTCCAAAACTTAGCCTAGAAACATGTAAAACTCGAAAAAGTGAACCGAGGTCATCAAAGGTCAATGACCTGACCTGTCCTTGACACCCACCCTAATGTATAGGACCAACATCATATCACGTGTTTGAACGTTTGAAACCATGAAAAGACGGCAAACGCTCGGCTAATGCGGGATGACATACGCCAAAT